GAACCATGAAAAATGTACTTTGTGATTGTATTCAGCCATAACTGTGCCAGCCACCACCAGTTTCACTTGAGTGAAAGGCAAAAATCAATTAGAGGTCAGGCTCAGAGCAAGATTCGAATTCTGCTTCTCACTGAATAGCTATCTGATCTAGGACAAAATACCTGACCTCTGTGTTTCAGTTTTTCATCTGAAGAATGTGGAGAACAGAATTCCCTCCCTGAGTGGATCAGATTTAAATGGCCACGGGAGGCACATTTTAAGTTTACCCTCACATCATGTTATACCCTTATTTTCGAAGCCAGTGATTACTAATGCCATTTCACAGCGAACTCCTAAAGTGGTACGCAGTAAACCAGACTGCCTTCAATTTGGGGGTGTGACCGCAGTGACGTGCCACAAAGCCAGGGACAGAAATTCACAGCTCCCTGAAAGCCAGTGTTGTCTCCAACCACAACTTGGCCTTGGTAGTCAGCACCAGAAGTTTCACAAGGCTGGCTCTATTCTTGGCTTTTCCACATGGACGTTCTTTCTTTCTTCTCACCTTCCTAAATTTTTCTTCCACGAACCAGAATGCTACGCTCATCCTTAAACTGGAAGGTCCCATTAGAATTCCAAGTGACCGCACGTTGGAACTGCCCCCCCCCAGGCACGCAGGGGTTTGCTGGGGGTGGGGGGTGCAGGGTGTGTGTGTGCAAACCCAGCGAAGGTGCCCTGTGGAAATGCCACAGACGGCAGCAAAGCATCACAGCAGGGAAGAGTGAGCAAAGCCTCTCAATGGATTTCTGTTAATGCTATGAATATCTAAACTCAGATTTTATATTTCCAATCAAAAAGATTTATATTTACACTTAAATTTTATAGCAATAACTTTAGACTTATCTCCACCGTCTTATTTTGTGCTTCCTAAATTCTATTTTTCTTAGCTGCTTCTTTTCCAAACTTTTCTGACTTCTGTTGGTTTAAGTTTTCTTTATCCCATGTTTATCCCTGTACAGTTCCTATTATTTTAGGAAGACTCTTGAAGTTGTAACATAAACACTTTTGGTGTTTCTAATGCAACATAAAGTCAATACTTTTTCCTTTAGACGTTTTAAGCTCCTCCTGATCTGGAACTGTAGTTCAACTTTAGTTTAATCCACAGTATTTTTTTGTTTACAGTTGGCGATTATTTTTTTTTTTTTTTTTTTTGCGGTATGCGGGCCTCTCACTGTTGTGGCGTCTCCCGTTGCGGAGCACAGGCTCCGGACGCACAGGCTCAGCGGCCATGGCTCACGGGCCCAGCTGCTCCGCGGCACGTGGGATCTTCCCGGACCGGGGCACGAACCCGTGTCCCCTGCATCAGCAGGCAGACTGTCAACCACTGTGCCACCGGGGAAGCCCCAGTCGGCGATTATTTTTGCTTAATAACACGTATAGATTTCTTTGTTCATTGTTGCTTTTTTTTTCTTTTCTGTACTTTGATTTCCAAATAAGCTCTCCTACTCCAAATGATGTGGGTAGAACTGGTATTAATATCTCCACTTGACAGACGACTGAGACAGATTTCATGTTTCTCCCAAGACAATCCAAGTATTAATTCTTCTATATAAGTGATTTATAGATAAGTAATTTGTATACATGACAAATAGAGAAGTAAAACCATTTAAACTTTTGTCATGAGATTCTTCAAGACTTATTTTTGCTGTTGACAGACTGTCCCTTGGGAATGTTTTTAGGATGCTTTTGTCCAGGTCATTTGCAAAGATGGCCTGTGGTGAATTTGAGGTATGTTTGAGAAAACGCAGTTATAAAACTCTTGTGGTATGGAATATAGATCATTCAGAAAAATGATGTTAAAAGTATACAACATTATATTTGACCTGTGTCACCTGTAGAGAGTTGTCATAGTTCAGCTACTGTGCACTTGCAAAAATCATGTCAGATGACTTATTTTAAAGCCCAGCCACCTGGTTTTTTTTTCCTCACCACAAAGTGCATATCCAGAGACCATGCCATCAGCCATAGATATGGTAAGAATTGCCCTACTGCATTATAGCCACCAAAGCGATGTTCCCTGAGAGATGTTTGCAAAACTTCTGTATTTCTGTTGTATATTTCTTTTCTTTCTCGTCTTTTACGCCTTTGGCACAGGGTCCTATTTACTTTTAATCCTAAAATAAAAGTGAGCCCCTTTCCAGTTGGCATAAATTCAGGAAGTAAAGTTCAGGCCACATTGGGGCCACGTGGTCAGCACTGAAAAAGGCAAAGAGGAAAGGAAAGAAACTGGGCTTGAGATTCTCTGAATCAAGCATGACTTGAGTCAGATTTTCTCTGGAACCTTCAGTTACAGAATGCAAAAATGCCACTCATTGCTGAATCAACAAGCAGCGGCAGCATAGATGCTGTGCACACCTCACCTGGGGCTCCTCTGTCCCGGATCCCCTCTTCATTGCCCTAAAGGAGGAAGTACACGGCTTCCAGTGTACGTGGTGGGGAGTAGATGGTATTGTGTCTGAATTCTCTTTACTGCCCTCTCACTCGATTAATGGTCTGTCTACCTGTATGTAGAATTCTAGATACGATTATATTCTCTCAGAACTTCAGTGTTATAACTGCATTGTCTTCTGGCGTTTATTGCAGCTAGTGAGTCTGTTCATAAATACCTGTCATTCCTTCACAGCTAAGTTATTGTCTCTGGGAGGCTTTTAAGAATTTTTTTCTCTTGACCCTTAATGTATTAATATTCTGTAATTTTTACTGCTGTACTTAGGTATGGTCTTTTAAAAATGCATCTTACTTGGTACTGTGTGCTGTTACAAATGGGAGGCCACAGGTGTTTCCACCCTGTAAAATTCTTAGCCTTTCTTTCTCCAAATATTGCCCTTGCCATTCTCTTCACCTGCCTGAACTCGCATTACGTTCCATCTGTGTGTCCCCCCAATGTGTTCCCGGTGAGTCTGTCAGTTCTGGCTGATCTTCATTGTGTCTTCAATTGTCTCCTGTTCTCTTGCCTACTGTTTCTCCCCTGAATTTTTAGTTTCACGTTGCTTATTTTGAGGGGAGGGGAAAGTACCTGACCTAGTTTTTAAATTTATTTTTCTTAACATCTTTATTGGAGTATAATTGCTTTACAATGGTGTGTTAGTTTCTGCTTTACAACAAAATGGATCAGTTATATATATACATATGTTCCCATATCTCTTCCCTCTTGCGTCTCCCTCCCTCCCTATCCCACCCCTCTAGGTGGTCGCAAAGCACCAAGCTGATCTCCCTGTGCTATGCGGCTGCTTCCCACTAGCTATCTACCTTACGTTTGGTAGTGTATATATGTCCATGCCTCTCTCTCGCTTTGTCACAGCTTACCCTTCCCCCTCCCCGTATCCTCAAGTCCATTCTCTAGTAGGTCTGTGTCTTTATTCCTGTCTTACCCCTAGGTTCTTCATGACATTTTTTTTCTTAAATTCTATATGTGTTAGCATACGGTATTTGTCTCTCTTTCTTACTTACTTCACCCTGTATGACAGACTCTAGCTCTATCCACCTCATTACAAATAGCTCAATTTCGTTTCTTTTTATGGCTAATATTCCATTGTATATATGTGCCACATCTTCTTTATCCATTCATCTGTTGATGGACACTTAGGTTGTTTCCATCTCCAGGCTATTGTAAATAGAGCTGCAGTGAACATTTTGGTACATGACTCTTTTTGAATTATGGTTTTCTCAGGGTATATGCCCAGTAGTGGGATTGCTGGGATATATGGTAATTCTATTTGTAGTTTTTAAGGAACCTCCATACTGTTCTCCCAGTGGCTGTATCAATTTACATTCCCACCAATAGTGCAAGAGGGTTCCCTTTTTCTCCCCACCCTCTCCAGCATTTATTGTTTCTAGATTTTTTGATGATGGCCATTCTGACTGGTGTGAGATGATATCTCATTGTAGTTTCGATTTGCATTTCTCTAATGATTAATGATGTTGAGCATTCTTTCATGTGTTTGTTGGCAATCTGTATATCTTCTTTGGAGAAATGTCTATTTAGGTCTTCTGCCCATTTTTGGATTGGGTTGTTTGTTTTTTTGTTATTAAGCTGCATGAGCTGCTTATAAATTTTGGAGATTAATCCTTTGCCTGACCTAGTTTTGTAATTTTGTTTTTATGACTGCCACCCTTTTTCTTTCTCAAGTTTAAACAAGTGTGTTAAAAGTCTTGATTTCAGATTCCTCTTACTTTTATTTTTTGGGTTCTCTATACCTTCCTGTTTATTGGATTTGCAAGTGGTTTTTCGTGCCATATAATCAGTTGTCTTCATACTCAAATAACAGTTCGGCTGGTTATAAAAGTAATTTAGCCCATTCGTTGTCAGAGGATTTTGTAGGCCTCGTTCTATTCTGCTTAAATGCTGCTGTGGAGGTGTCTGAAGCTAACATAATTTTTTCCCCTTTATATAAAGTCTTCGTATTTTTTCTTGGCTGTCCAGAGGATTCTGTCTCCAGTCCACATTAAGATATATCTTAGTGTTGATTATTATGTGTCATATTTTCTTGCAACATATGTCCCTGATTATAATGATTCAAATTTGTAACTTAGGAAAACTCACATTTTCTAGAACTGTATTACTAAACGTGTGCTGTTTCATTCAGCATTCGTCTTATTTCTACTCTAACTCTTTAACTCCTTTTTTCCATTTCCGTTTGCTTTTTTTTTTTTTTTTTACTATTCTGCCTTATGCTGCTTACTTTGTGCTTTCATTTCTGTAATTCTTTTCTGAGATTTTTTCCAACTTAATTTCCTCACTTTTTCTTACCTTATCTGTTTAATGCATAATCTTGTTATACAATCACTCATTTTTAGAAAAACTTGTTGCTGCAGTGTTTACCCTCTTGTGACAACATTTTTATCCTTGCTTTTCCTGTTTGTTGCCTTTCTTCTTTGTGGGATCTATCATGGAGTATGTTTTCCCTAAAACCAGCTATTTGAAAGAATTTAATATGGGGCAAGGCCCAGGGCCATGTTCTAACCTGGCAGGAATTTTCCTTGTGACCCAAGTTTAAATGTGAACATTTAAAAGCCTTTCCTCTTTCACGGCCCAATCTCAGACAGACGTTTCCTCCAAGTGGTGGTCTGTCAGGATGATTTCTCACTCAACCCTGCTTCCTTGGCAACTGTGAACGAAACAAGGTCCCAGGAAGTGTCAGTGCTACCTGCTGTGGCCCTCACCCTGGAGAACTGCTTTGCTGCCTTTTTCCCTGGGCTCTTTGCTCTGTGGTCCATTTCCCTACTGTTTTTAGCAGTCCTTCGACCTACATTTCAGTATCTCCTCATTTTATGAAAGTTCATTTTTCCTTAGCTTCTGTGAGCTGGCTTCCTCACAGGTAAATTTTAGATACTTCCTACCTGGCCTAATAGCTGTGCCCACGGGATGAGAGAACCTGTGTAAAAACAGCAGTTTCTCACACCACAGGCTTTGGATGGATGGAAGATGGTTGGTTCCCTTAGTAGCCTTTCCTTTCCCGCTTTCAGGTAATTACTGCACGTGGGAAGGCTAATGTCACGTTTTACTGCCCCTGCCTTTCCTGGCAACCTTCCCCTCGCCATCCTTAGACACACGGGGGGGGTGCTCTTTCCCGTGTGTCCCTGTGTACCTCCGTGTTGGCATCTGTCAGCCCGGATCATACACAGATCACCTGTGTAGAGGCACCACGTTTCACTGGGCAGATCTAAATAAAATAGTGGTTGAATAAACAGAGGCAAATTTTTCGGTCACGTTTCCCAGTGTTTCTTGTCCCCAATCTCAACGGGACATATAATCTAGCCCTTTAAAGGGATAGTGTTCTGCAAATCGTCAGCTAACGATTTCACTGGTTATCAGGTGTGGACCTCTCTACCACCATTCTTAACCCCGCGGACTCTAATCTTACTGAAAAACGTTATTACCAAAAAGCAAGTCTGTTTCTTCTTACCTTCTACTCACCAGGTTTAATGACCTCCTCTTGCGATGTCGGGAACTGGATACCTGGACACAAGATCTCGCCCTTCCGGCTGTGGTGTGGCTTTCTGGCTTCTTCAACCCTCAGTCCTTCTTAACTGGTAAGGGCTGGGGCAGGGCGGCCCCTGATGCTGACAGAGTCACACCCCATAGCAGAACCCCAGCCACTCCCCCTGCCCTGGCCACTACAGAGGAAACAAAACGCCCGGCAGGACAGGAGCAGCTAAGAGAGGTGGGATGGGGTTCACCCCGGTAAACGTTTCCCATCACGGGCTGCCCGGTCTCTCACATCGGTTCCACTCTGGCACGGCAGAGCACAAGCCAAATGGGTATAGCCGTGCCAGTAAAACTCCGTCCACCAAGCAGGGAGGTGGTCCTGCTCTAGTGCAGCCACGTGGAATGCCCAAGAACACCCCGTGGGCCCAAAGCACGCCTCACTCAGGGTGCTCAGCTTACACGGGTGGCTCCCGGGACCCTTCTGTCTGTGGCTTTATCCTACTCCATTCCTGTCCGTCCTCCTCCCAAAGCAATCATGCAGACCACGGCTCGAAGAAACGAGTGGCCGCTGGATAAAATGTGCTTGACTGTTGAGGTTACCAAAAAAACGAAGGAGGATTATGGGCACCCCCCCAGGGAAGGCGCATACCTCCACGGGCTCCTCATGGAAGGTAAGATGTCCCAAAGAGTGAACCTTTCTCACTCAGCTTCAAGTTGGTATTTGTCCTTTGTTTATTCCATTGCTCAGCACTCACTCACACTGGTGGTTATTTACTTCGTTTCCGGCTTTCGAACAATTTAAATGCTAAGATAGGTAGATAGGATGTGTGTCCAATGTGAGCCAAATTTTAAGGCCACGGCTATCACTTAAAGACCTATACACTGAATTTACTTTGCTTTTGAATCAGTACAAAACTCTTTCTTCTCCTTTTTAAAAAACTGTTTAACTTCACCCTTGTGGTAAAATACCATCTCTCTAAGCCTGTAAGATGCCAATGCATATTGTGAATCTCTGGGCAAAGGGGTAGAATATGCAGTAGCTTCCAAGTTTATTCACCCATGCATTTATCTTATCTTGTAGACCGCTTCCTCTTACCTTAAAGGGCACTTGGAGAAATGCTTTCCAAGTCTCTGCCAAGATGCTCCTTTTTCACTTTCAACATCTGAACACGTGTGGCATGTGCTTTAAAGGCGGGGTAGGTGGTATAAACAACAAGTGACCTGAACTTAGACGAAGAAAAGAATGTGCAGTGGGGAGGGAATGTGGTGAGTTGGACACGTCTTATACTGACCATAAGCATATGCAGATGCACTTCTTTAAAGGAAGGACAAACTAGTTTGCTTTACTGCATCTGTGATTCTCTCTCATGGAATCTGTTTTCATGTAGGTAAGGTTTACACCTTTTAAATTCATTTAGTTTACTGTTCACAGGAGAGAGTTCAGGCATTAGCACAGGAGCAAGAAGAGTCTGTGCTTACAGTGTATGCGTGGCCCCTGGGCAGCAAGTACCCTCATCTCCCTCCCATCTCAGTCATGGGCCAGCTCTCTAAGGAAGCCACTGATGAGGAGTGAAGTGACAAAACCGGAACGTTTATTGCCTACAACAAACAGAGGCTCAGTACCAACATACAGCACGGTTGTAACCCTTGGGTTTATGCTGTAGGTGCCAGATGGGACAGCCAGTCAGGAGCCGTCGTGGACGCCTACCTCAAGGAGTTAAGGTCTGCAATGCCAGTCATCTTGGCAAAAGCCATACCCGCGGACAGACAGGAAACCCAACACACGTACGAGTGCCCTGTGTACAAAACCAAAACGAGGGGCCCCAACCGTGTCTGGACCTTCAGGTTGAAGAGCAAAGAAAAGGCGGCCAAATGGGTCCTGGCAGGCGTGGCCCTCCTGCTGGAGGCGTAACAACGGCCCTTGCAGAGGGGCTTCTATTCCTCCCACCGGAGCACCGGAGATGTCCTTGTTCCCGCACGGTCGTTTATCCTACTGAGAGGCATAAAACAGAGTCCAGCTTATGTACCTTTTAAGTAACTAACTTAGCATTCGTTGTTTTTAAACAAACACCATCTTTGAAAAGTAGAGAAGGGGGACAAAAAGAAGCAAATGTAGAAAAAAAAGATGGGAACCCTACTGAAAATGTTCATTTTTAGCTCTCCCCAGCCTTCCTGCAACACAAAAAAGAGTACAGTATAGATCACATTTTCATCAACGTTCCACTGAACCTCCAAAACAATATGGTTGGAAGTCTGCTCCCGGTCCATACACGCGGGAGCCTAGTTCTTGTAGATAAACAAAAAGTATTAGCCTTTATATTCTCTTAAAATATAGAAGCCACTGGCCCCAGGCAGCCGCTCCTCCTGGCCAGCAGCCCTCCAGTGTCCAGAATGTGACTGACAGTCCACTTTTTGTTCAAGTGTTAACAAAAATAAAACTCAAGATATACAGGTAATTGCACCTTGTAATTTAGGGGAACATTTTCAATATAAATTTCCAATGACCCAGAGCAGCTTAAACTATGGTCACTTGTGATAAGGTAAGCTTAAACTATGGTCACTTGTGATAAGGTAAACTTAAGGGGGACGTAACCCGTCACAAGCTGGCCTCCAGGGACTGGTTTGGGAGGTAAAAGATCAAGGCAACAAAGGCAAGAGCTGCTTACACGATGTTTTCTCTGGGGTAACTCTACCCCCCCATCTAAACTATGTTTTTTAAATCAGCTGCAGATGCTTTTAACAATTCAATCTATAAACAGGCCTGCGTATACATGTATGTCGATTCCTCTCTCGTCTTCCTGAGAAATCTTTTGAAGTATATAAACAAACAATCTTTAAAAAAAAATAGTATTTGGATCTACAAAGAATTTCTGTATACAAACACAACCATAAGAAATCTTAGGCACAAATGGCATGTCTTGTCGGAGTCCTCCATGGTGAGCTGGCTGGTTCTTCTCTTAGTTGTCTTTTACCAGCTGCTTTTGTAAGCTGAGAAAAAATGGGACGCATTAGTGGGACGGAGGCACGAGCACAGCGGCATCCTAGGTTAGAGGCTCAACCATCCCCTGGAGTACCAAGCCCGAACCGGCTCTCCTGTCACCAGCTCAGGCCCGACTCCTCACGCACACACAGTGGTGCGGGCCGGCCCCCAGGGCCACTCGCCTGACTCCTGCGTCCCTACAAGCAGCCTCCTCGTCCGAGCGCACGTGACCCAAGCCTCCCCTCTCCTTAGGGCTGCCTTGGGCCTTCACAGCTTTCCCTCAGCCTGCCTTGTAGACTCTTTACTGTTGGAGGCAGTCAGGGGGAAATTCTAGCAAAGGAGGGAACTTCCCGATAGGGAAAATACCAGTCCCAAGCTTGCCCAATGCAAAGAGACACAGGACGACTGGCACTCGATGTGGTTTCTAAGAAGCAACTGAAACAAGGCAACCCCGTACCTGCCTAGAGGGTCTCCCCGGCTGCACCCGGGCATTACAACCTCTGTTTTTGATTTGTGAGGCTTACCTCTCCAGATATTCCTTAACGTTATTATAACCGTAAAACTTGGCCAGATGAATGAGGATGCCTGTGGCACAGCGACCATCACGCTTCCGACAGTAACTGCAATTGCAGATGCCCCGGCAGGGAGGACACACCCAACCCTAGGGAAGCAATGGCAGCAGGAATGCCCCCGTTATCAACAGGCTCTCCCCGCAGGATGAGCTTCTGATTGAGCCTGGATCACTCAGCCTCTCCACCAATCTTTAATCACGTGAGACTCCTCAGATAATCCTTCACCCTGTGACAGGTACTAATGTCTCCTTCCCCTCGCATGTTTCAAAAAGGTCCAGAAAGGTTGATCACCCCAGATCACGCATGCAGAAACACTGAAACGTGTTTGGTTTTAAACAGGACCAGGTGCATAGTTAGTAGACGTATGTTCAAAAAGTTTTGGAGAATTTCAGGTATCAGAGCAAGTGCAGGGCCCCTTACAACTTCACAGGTCACACACCCAGGAGGTCGGCCCTGCTTCTGAGAGCATAGGGTTTCTCAAATCACTCAACCTGAGTAGCAGTTTACACTCACCTGCAAACTCGGGACAGTCTATTTACCCCCATGACTGCTGCATAAGAGGTCTTGCAGCGGTTAAGAGCACAGACTCTGGAGCCAGACTGCCCAGGTTCAAGGGCATACACACTAACATTATCTCATTTTACAGAGAGAACCAAGGTGTTGGGAGGCTAAAAGAATAACAACTGAAATAAACTGCACTAACAGACGTGAAATCTCAGAGCAGTGCAGGTGCGCACAGAAAGCACCCTACACCACGGTATACCCACCCCCTGGGCCTGGCCCCGGCAAATCCAAGGTAAAGGACGCTGCTGGAGGAAAGGGACACAGGCTTGCCTGTACAAACCCTAACTAAGAAAGCTTGCCTCTGACCCTGGAAAGCAAAACGCACTCTCTTCTCCAGTCCTATCTAGGGCAGGAAACTCTACTTTTCATTGCTGCCAGTCTCAAGAGGCAGAATGAAAAGGAGGGTGGTGAGGGGGGTCTACAAAACCCTGAGCTCTGCAGCTGCAGGTACCCGACAGAGGGCCCAGGAGCCCCGTCCTCAGCTTGCTCCCCTCACCGATACAACTCAGGCCGAGGCGAGCACTGTGCCTACCGGGTCCAGCAGCGCCGATCGCACGTCCTCCCCGTAGCGATTCCGCAGGCAAGGCCCACAAAACTGTCCTCGCACCCCGCCGCAGCTCTGGTTCCGACACACCGTCTTGGTGTCAATGGTCTTCTGCCGACACTGGTGGCAAGTGTTACCCTGAGGCGGAAGGCGGTGGGTGGTGAACATGGGATTTGGAGGGGGAGGCCCATGAGGCCACACGGATATCCTAAGTGCACAAAGCAGCCCTGCCTCTCCCCCAGAATCGAGCAGTGCTGTTTCTCTGGTACAAACACTGGCACTCTCTGGCAGCCTGTAAGCACTTTTAGTTCTGGGGCCAGAGAAGCCTCTTAGGGCAGATGCGACTGAGCCGGGAACCTGGAAGAAATGAAATGATCAGCTGGACAGAAATGATGGGAGAGACCAGAGCCCACAGGGGTGACAGGTGACAGGTGACTGAGTGATAAGCCCTGGGCAGCATCGCACGGCTCCCACCCAGTTCCTAGCCATCCGGTTACGTTCAGGATAAATCTCCTGGTTTTAAAACGCTGGCGATTCAATTGAAAACCTTTTAACAGTATTTAAGACACTGTCCCATTATCTAAAAAGGATGCGAAACGACACAAAGCCATCCTCTACATTACCATTCTAAAAAACTTAACACATTTCCTACCTACCAAAGATATTCTATCAAACTTTAGTTTCTATTGGTTATATAAAATATATATTATACGTACATTTTCAACAGTGTTAATATTGGAAATATATTTCTGTTGGTTATAAAAGCGTATTAGTTTTTTCAACGTTTAAAACATAAAAACTATTTAAAATATAACAATTACAACTGTGCTTTTCCAGACTACACCCCTGCCTCCCCCCACAGATAATGCATCCCCCAGAGAGACCTGTCTCCCCTTTCCCAGTTACAGCTGCTCCCACTCGGAGCCCACCTCTGCGCCCTGGGGAGACGGCACAAACGCGTAAGCCCAGATACAGTTTAAAACAAGGCAGGATTTCAAATACCAGTGCCTGGGACTCCCAGTATAAGTCACGATCATGTGAATTATTCATCAGATATACTTTACCAGAACTTTATCATAGATTTTATCTCGAACAGTTATGGCCACATTCTCCAAGTCCTCTTCAGTGATGTCCTCCACTGGCCGAAAAGAAGATACACGGCGACGTCGTCGATATCCCTGGCATCTCCCCTGCAGAACGAGCCAAAGCAGAACTGGGCATTAGATGGCTTGGGCGGTTAAAAACAAATTATAGAAGTTTTACGCTCCTCAGAGCTCTAGGACCATGCATGTTAACTATGTCCCTCTTCTATTTCCCTGAAATCATTCATACATTTTAGTCATTTGCTGAGCTCCTATCCTTAGTGCCAAGCCTCCCTGATAGCAAGGTGACACAGGACAATAAACCAGAAGCTCAGGGTTTCCCTGACCACTGAATGGTCACCTGCGGCAAGCTCTGTGAGGCCGGGGAAGTGAACCACACTGAACAGCCAAAGCCACAAATAGGAAGGGTCCAGAGTGTCTTGCTCTAGACTGAAAGCACTCCAAACTCCCCATTCCTAAACAGAAAGACCAGAGGCATCACTGTACTTGCCCACAAGCAAAACCACGAAGCCACCTGCTGCCGTTATCAGCCCTTTACAGCCTCCACTGGAGGTGAAGCTGGGGTCCTAACCATTGCTCGGTTTAGAGGAAGGACCCGCTTCATGGCCTACAGCTTAGATCAAGCGCAAGCTTAGGCCCGGAGTTCTTTTCCGAGTGCGGTCCCAGGAGTACCCACAGCATCTAGGAACTTGGCTGAAATGCAACTTCTCAGCTGCTGCAGACCTACTGAGTCAGAACCTCAGCGCTCTCACCGAGCCCCAGAGGGCTGTGATGAACGCTCACGTGCGAGGACCGCTGGCTTAGACAAAGAAGCATTGGTTCATTATAGTCAGAAAATACCCCGCTTGTTGTCTTCCTTCTTCTGAAACTGTAAAACTCTTCTGCGAACTTGGCGGCCGACACGGTGAAGTTCTCCAGGGCGAACTTCTCGGGAGGCCGTGCGCTCCGGGCCGGGTTGGTGCGCCGTGTGATCTGTCCCTCTGAGAAGGCCCGCCTCACTGCTTTCTTCTTCTGCAGGTGAGAGCACAGACACACACAACTGGCTGCTTTCTGGAATGAAAGCCATCTAGCAACTGACTGTGTGCATGAGTACTGGAATCAATACATATAAGGAGTTCCACTTACAGAAGCTGAGTTCGGGGTTCGGAGCGGGAAGAAATCTGGCATTGAGTTCAATTCCGCCAATAATTGAGCAAGCTGAAGTTCAGAAGAAAGAAAGGATCGTGCATAAATATTGCCACGTCTACTTCATCTAACACGTTATCACAAGTCTTCCAGTTTGCAGCCATGAGAAACTTGTAGTTTACATAAGATCTCAGCAGTTGTTATTTTTTTAACCTCACATGTAAAGATTTTTATCTACGCAGGTGAGATGCTGATAGCATGAGAGGAATAAAATCTATGCCCGTTCCTTAGGTAGAAGAAGACACGATGAAAACTGTCCTGGAAGGTCCAAGGCCTGGAGCATGCGGTTAGAATCGTGACTGGGCTACTAACTCTCAGTGTGACCCTGGAACCTATCATTTTGCCCACCTGAATCAAGTTTCATCACGTTCACAACAGAAAAGGCCCAACTAGATCATTCCGGCAGTTATTCAGAGCTCCGAAACACTGATTCTTTAAGTTGGTTAATTTCTTATCAATAAAAATAATTTCTGAAAACATTCCCAAATAAACACCTAAGAACACCAAATAACAGGCATTAACGTGCCAATCAATTTAATTAGGATTCCTTTTAGTTTTAGACTTACACAGAGGTATGGGTGTCACCCCTAAATCCTAAAATCATGAACGTAGTTCTTATTTTTTATTTTTTTTTTTACGGTACACGGACCTCTCACTGTTGTGGCCTCTCCCGTTGCAGAGCACAGGCTCCAGACGCGCAGGCCCAGCGGCCATGGCTCACGGGCCCAGCCGCTCCGCGGCATGTGGGATCTTCCCGGACCGGGGCACGAACCCGTGTCCCCTGCATCGGCAGGCAGACTCTCAACCACTGCACCACCAGGGAAGCCCTCATAGTTCTTATTTTAAAGATGCAGAGAGATACGACACTAAAAATTCCTCTTAACTGAGCACAAATATGTCTCTGGATAAATTATACCCCAAAGTAGGATTTATATTTTCTTAAGCAACTTAATAGACATATAATAAGACTGCATATACAGTATCATTAAATTATGCTTTTTAAAAAGAAAATATTAAAGAAAAAAATATACCAAAATACTAAAAGTGATGATGATTTTTTTAAATTCTGTGTGTATAAAATTATGAAGGAAACCAGTTACTGACCACATACAGAAAAACCAAATACACAAAGATTTCACCTTGTTCCATTAATTATTCTGGTGAAAACATTTTAAAGTGATTCAAAACTGCTCAGTTCCTTTTAATACCTAGACCCCTTTCATTCCTTTAGCTGATATCTTGACACTACAGCACCTAGGTTGAAAGCTGCCTGCCTGACCTGCACAAAACAACTTCTAAGTGGTCTTCATGACACCCACGTTTACACACTGCTTCTTTCTGCTGGGAACAGGGCCTCTCATCTCCGTAAAATACCACTGCATATTTGCAACATAACTTGATCAACAGTAAATGGCGTTTAGTCCATGGCACTGTGGAGGGGGCTAAAAATGGTCCTGGGAGTCTCTGTTCCCAAACCAGAGCTAATCAGGTGATAACCGCTTGGGGTCCAAGAAAGAACCCACAATACCCAGAGCACACTTCCTGACCGAAGCCAAAGCAGCAGCATCTTTGGGGACGCAGCCCTGGGAGCCCCAACAGTGGCTGTCTTGGGCCGCGCGGCCTTACCATGGCTTTGTTCTCCTCGATGTTCATGGTCCTTTTCAGCAGGGCATCTGAGCTCTCCTGGCCCTCGTCCCTGGAGTCGTCCTCAGACTCAGAGGCAGAATCTTCCCTTTCCTTCCTCTGTCTGCAGCTTGTCTTTCTTCCAAGAATTCCACTCTTACTGTCCTGTATGTGCGAGCCAGAAAACAACGGCTCAGGAGAACTGTTCTTACCGGCATTTTTTGCCGGTTTCTTGGTGGGGAACTGAAAGGCTACCCGAAGACCAATACTGCTTCTTCTCGGCCTGCTGCTTCTAGGTGGAGCCTCTTCTTCTTCATCTTCCTCTTCCTCACTCATGAAAGATGCTTTACCGTCATCACTGAGCTCTGACTCCACGAGCTAATGAGAGAAAGAACAAAGACAGTGCCTATAAACAAACCTTCAGAAAGACACACACTTAAAACCCCTCTGACAGTATTTTAGGAGAACAATGAATAGTTGAAAGCTCTCCCTTCCTATTGGTAGTTCCCTCTGAACTCTTCAGTGAAATGCGCAAGTACTTTGTAGATGAACAAAATCAAAGAGCAGGCTGCTACGCGCTCTGGCCCAGCCACACCCACCGGCAGACTGTGTTCTGCTCAGAGCATCAGGCTGCAAGCCAAACGCTGATGAGGTGGGCTCCTCCCCAGTGGGCCACCCAAGCTGGCACACCTGGGAGCCCAGGAATATGGGAATAAAGAAAAGGGTGTGCATGACATCAGAGGTATCCTCAGGTAAAAATGGAGTGCTGAGTGAAAAATAAAGTACCATTCTGCCCTAACTAGCTGGAACACAACTCATGAGTAAGAGGGACAGGAGAGCTGACTTCATTTTAGTGCAGTGACCAAGGAGCAGGCAGATGACCTGCCCTCGGGGTCAGTGGCGGAACCTCATCCCCAGGATACGCTGGGTCCTCACTCAAGGGAAGCCTCCTCCCCTTTCTGTAACCCGCAGCGCCATGGGGTGCAATCAGGCAGACAGCTCTGCAGGGCGGCCGCAGGCACCTGTTCAGTCAGCTCAAGCAACTCTCAGCCTCAGTTTTCAGTCTCCACTCGGCATAGGTCTCCAGCATTAAAACATAACTTGGTTTCACACGTGAGAACACAGTAAGAATGGAAGGCAACAGCAAGGGGACATCTCAGATGCAAAGGACTCTCAGCAACAGCAGAGATGGGTTTAAATACTGGGATCGAGGTCATCACCTGGCCTCTTCCCTTGACCACAGGCTGGACAGTGTAGCCTGGGCACCTCTGTCAGGGACTCAGGTTGTGAGGAGAGCTGAGAACAGCACCAGGAGCCGCCTGGGATTCAGTTAATGACTCTGCTTCTTCCTCGGTGACCACCCCCCCAAATTCCAGCTGGACTCAAGTTAAAAATAAAGCGGCGGGAGGGAAAAAAAAAAAAGCAGACAGGGCTTCCCTGGTGGCTCAGTGGTTGAGAGTCTGCCTGCCGATGCAGGGGACACGGGTTCGTGCCCCGGTCCGGGAAGATCCCACATGCCGCGGAGCGGCTGGGCCCGTGAGCCATGGCTGCTGAGCCTGCGCGTCCGGAGCCTGTGCTCCGCAACGGGAGAGGCCACAACAGTGAGAGGCCCGCGTACCGCAAAAAAATAAAAAAAAAAAAGCAGACAACTTCCAAACCTTGGTGTATGTATCAATGCACAAAAAGCCAGGCAGAGAAATAAGACTGTACTGTACGGAGTTACCTATTTGTTTTAATATCCTGAACTCTCCACATTAGTAGCTTTGGAATTCCAAATAGTGGGCTGCAGAGGAATCTATGTTAGAGGACACTGTTGGAGAACTTCAGAGGAGTTCTCTCCCCTGACTGGCTTTATTCATTTATCATAATCCCCATCTAGCCCCCGTCTCTTTACCAAGGCCGTGGAGTAGCGTACTACAAAGGACTGAAGTATGGAGAGAGTCACCAGTGGAGACTCCGACCTGAGAGCCAGCACCACGGCTGCGGCAGTTTCACGTCTGGCTACAAGACCACTGGACACCAACGTAGAGTCATACCCTATTGCCAGAAAGGTGGTCTCACCACTACTCGCTAGTGTGGGCAGGAGGTTGGGTGAGGAGGCAACAAGGCTTGCTTTCTCACTGAATTTCAAAATAAATGTACAGGTGGACCTGCCCTGAGCTATGCGTTATATCAGAGTCAACGTAACATGTCCCTAAATGTACAGATTTGGAAGAAAACCAAAAAAAAGGTGCTGGGGGTAATTCACTTTCGCATGCTGGAAACAAATTCTTTGAATATCCCAACATTACTTAGCTAAAGAAGAGAAGATAAACAAGTCACTAAGAGTAGATGATACCCATCAAGGTTTGGAAGGATCTCTAGAAACCGGAGCCTTGCTGGCCAGAACACAGGAACTGCCATGCAAATAACTTCTGTAAAGAGAGCCAAGGGGCGGGGGGCTGAGGCCGATAGATTGGCACAGGTCTGTGTTGCTATTCACAGAAATAAATCACCATCAAGCAAGGCAGCCTACCATTAAGGCTTTCAGGCCTTAAGACCCCCCCAGGAAAAGGTGAAGGACAAAGCAACGCTACTGGTTACAGCTTCTTTAAACACCCACACAGGTTCCACGCCACGAGTGCTTCTCTGGGAGCTTCTGAACGTAATGAGGCTTAACCGCTCTATCCCTTATCTTGATATCAAAGAAGGAAGTGGTGTATTGATTTTATGAGATAAATGTATGCTACTTTCCAGTTAGTAAAAAACATTTTTATGCCTAAAAAAAATCCAAAGGCTGTTCTTCAAAGTTACCCTGAGATTCAAATACTGGTCGGCAGTCAACTGGCCTAACTAAACACATGGACTAAAAAGAGATCAACCAACAAGTCTCTTGATGATGGCAAAGGGCTGAGGGCAGACTTCCCTTAGGAATCAGACAAGCCCAGGTCACCTTTATCATTAAAAAGCCTGTCGTGATCCAAATCAAGAATGCACAGACAAAACTCTAAGTTTGTACCACAGCTAAATTTCTGCCAAATCAACTCCAAACCTAATTACTTGGCGCACAACAGAAAATGACTTTCAGGAACTTGTTACTCTCAGACCCTCCTCTTTTCAGATAAAAGAGGTTCAAAAAAGTCTGAAATAAATTCTCTGATAAGGATAATAAGGGACGCCTGGGACACATCCCCCCAGACTCCAAAGGCACCCAGGAAAGACAACTGGATTTTCTCTAAGAGCACATGGACTGGTGGGCCAGGAATTCGCCTTAGAATAGCCGAGTTTACATTTAGCTAAGTGGCTTAGAAGATGAACACGTAAAAAACAGTAAAATCTTCATATTTTGTTAACTGGCTTATAAGATGAACATGTAAGAAAAAGTAAAACCTTTTCATGTGTAAAGTGGCTTCTTACAAGTAACAATACAATTCGGAACCAGGACTAAAAATATCACAACCCACCCTCCCTCACGTTGATAAATATTACCATTACTTCTGCGTTACTGTTAACATTCAGATCACTCTGTGTAAATCCTTCAAAATCTTCCGTCTCTGAGTCACTGTCCTCTCTAAAAATTCTCCTTAGCTCTTCTGTGAAGGTTGTGGACTGGAAACGCACATCCTGCTAAGTTAAAAACACATGTGTCATGGAGAAAGCAAGAAGAACAGAGGCTGGCAGGGGCTGGGGGCAAGGGCAGTCGCTGTTTAATGGGGACAGAGTTTCTGTGTGAGACGACGAAAACATTCTGGAAACAGATAATGGTGAAGGCCTCGAGACACTGTGAATAACGCCTCAGTGTCCTGCAGGCAGCACACTGGGACTTACCGCACTTAAAAATGGTTAAAATGGTAAATTTTATGTAGGTTTTACCACAATAAAAACACACGTATATATACATATTTTCCATAGTTTGCAGAAAGTTAGACCCACAAATTGAACAATTTCAAAAAACCAGAATGGCCGCAGCCTCCATCAGCTGGTGTCCCCGGTAGGGGCTGATGGAATTTAGTTTCTCCCGCCGGGGCGGGGCCATCAGGAGCGTCTGCGTTCACACAGAACAGAAAACACATGGAGGAGAAGACCTGGCCCTGGCTCCTCCACACACGCTTGGCTTTCCTTTCCAACAGCCATCCCAAGCCGGCTCCTCCCAGGGGAGATGCCTGGTTCACAGACAGCATGCCTCCGGGCAGGACCGGGCTGGAGGCTTCCACACCCCGCCCCGCCCCGCCCACCGCGGAGGAGAACAACGCACTTGCTCCGTCACCCACTAGGGAGTCCCTCTCCCGCAGGAGGTGAGAAGCAGCCACTGCCGGCAGGTAGCAAGGGAGCCCGAGGAAAGATGTTACACGGCTGACTCAGAAAGGACATGTTCCAGTAATGACTTTTTCTTTCTTTTGAACTCATAAAAATAAAAGGCATGCTTGAAAGAGAGGAGGGGAAAAGCAAGAATGGCAGTACAGAACGGAGACCCACAAACCAGCCTCCTCCAAGCTGGCAGCCAGGCCTGGAGTCCATGCCCCCTGCTGCCTCTGACGTCTCCCCTCCTACCCCTGATGCAGGGGTATGACCCCTCATGACAGCACATGAGGCTGGAGAACCTTTATCTCCCTGCCTGCCTTTTCCCTGACTTTAATTATATATACTTCTTCGACCTCGGATAATCAGTCTCTGGAGAAAAACAGACATAACAGACGAGTGGAAAAACTTCCCGGGGGGGAAAAGAAAGAAATGCCTATATCCGGCATTTTTTTAAGCTTAAAAATGTCTCCTGTGAATTATTATGGGTAATTGGAGTGACTGTGCTCAGATGTAAATTACTTCATCCCTTTGTTGATAGCTGTGGTGCAGCTGCTTAAAAAAAAAAAAAAATTCACACACAAAAGGGAAGTTTCTTTAAAGTGAAATTCAAATTGTGCTTCAGGGAGACCAGGGCCGGCACTGCTGCACACACTACGTACAAGTTCACGCGGCTTCTCTCGGCGGGTTAAAATGGATCCGGAGTGTGTGGGGTCCAGGTGGGGAAGCAGCAGGCCAGGGTCTGTCGTGAAGAATGGTGCGCGGTTGGCTCCCAAGGAAACCCACCACCTCCGAGGGCAGGAAACATCTGGCTCAAGAGCCCTGGGCCAGCCCCTGCAGGCTGCTGCAGGGCAGTGGGGCCCATGTGCACACTTCATCATCGACCCAAAGTCCCTGGCTGGAGCCCGAACAGGTCATGCCTTGGAACAGCAGGTTCCAACCTGCCAGTCCTCTGGCTCTTTCTGTGCTTTGAGCTGGTGTCACAGGCAGCCGTCAGCCTGGGAGAGATCAGTATCTCTGGTGGCCAGTTCTGATAGAGAAAACAAGTCAGCTGCAGCCCTAGACCAAGGCCCATGCTTTTATTCTCCTGATTTCACAGGGTGTAAAAACCATCTTTAATGGGGTCTGTAACAAAGCGAACATCCACTCCACAGTCTCCTGTGTCCCTGGTTACAAGCCTCACACAGCTCTTTGTTCTCCGAAATCTGGCCGTTAGCCTTTAAAATCACTACTAGACAGTATGTTGTGGGCTTTGGTGACCTGCATCTACCGTGATCAAGAACATAAGCAGGGCTTCCCTGGTGGCGCAGTGGCTGAGAGTGTGCCTGCCGATGCAGGGGACACGGGTTCGTGCCCCGGTCCGGGAGGATCCCACATGCCGCGGAGCGGCTGGGCCCGTGAGCCATGGCCGCTGAGCCTGCGCGTCCGGAGCCTGTGCTCCGCAGCGGGAGAGGCCACAGCAGGGAGAGGCCCGCGTGCCGCAAAAAAAAAAAAAAAAAGAACATAAGCAAATAACAGATCAGAAGAGAAGCTAACAGAGTGGTGACTTTTTTTTTTATTTTGAAGCTCATGGGATGTGAAGAAACAGACTGGAAGTCATGGTGGCTGAACCAGTCAGACAAGTATCCCACCTCAGTTCCACCCCACGGGTGCTCCTTCGCCCATGGGCACTGGATGTATGAAACAAGAGGAGAGGGACAACCCAAGGAAGCAGCCCAAGCCGGGGAAGCTGGAAAGCACCATTCAAGTATGAGGCCCCTTCCATCAAGGAGCCTGTCATTTAGTAAGGGAGCTGGACAAGTCCACAGGTCCCCATGGCGAGGATCAGTGTTGTAAGGGAGACACACGCAACATGGCGCACAGAAAGAAAGGAAATCCAGTAAGACTTCGTGGAAGCAGAATCATTTGACCTGCATCTAAACTGGGCTAGAGGCTAGAAAGATGCTGAGAGTGCACAGAGGCAGGATGAAGAGCCTGGACCACTGTGCACAGGGGGCAGAACAGTGCATGCGGGGGGCATGGATGCAGTTTCTGGTCTCCCGCTGCAAAGCCCGCAGGAGAGAGCCGTGCAAGGCACGAGGCTGAGAAGTGGGGCTCCTAGATTAGGAACATCCCAGCTCGGCCACTCCTCAGATGTGAGGCCTCAGACCAAGTCACTTCACCTCCCCACACTTCAGTTTCATCACCCGTGAAACAGGAATAATAACAGCGCCTGCACCTTCCCAGGGAGATAGTGAATTAAGGGCACTCTGCATGAAAAGCATGTTGTCACGGGCCACGGAATGCATGCTGGGGTCAGACTCGGGAGCAGGGCTGGACTGGGGGCAGGTGTGAGGGCACAGGAGAAGGGGCAGTCGTCACAGCAGCAAGAGCAGCCGCTCTGTTCCTTAAGGCCTGCCACCCGCCAGGCTCGTGCTGGCGCTTCACACAGTGTCTCGCGCCGCTCAGAGGGCCACTCACACCGGACCCAACAGGCTGCCCCTCACTGCCTGACCACATTCGAACGGAGGGACTGGCGATTTCTGAACAGGGGAGGATGGCGACCAGAGCTCAGTCCCACACCTGCGGGAAGGACTATGAGACCCACGGGAGCTGAGGAGGGAAGAGACGGGAAGGGATGGAGGTGAGGAACATGGCAGAAGATTCATCAGCTCCTGCAAGGGACTTGAGGAGATGGGTGAGGAAACAGGAGGCGTCAAGAGCTCCATAGTTGGAGACAAAAATGGGGAAGACAGACAACCAGGGAGGGAAAATGGTGAGTTTCAGATCTCCCTTGAGCAATGACGACACATCCAAGTGTCTGTCAGAAGTACATCTGGGGCTGGAGGGAAGACCCAAACCACAAAGGACCAGGAGGCAACGGCTGAGACCGGGCCAGGCACTGAGATCATTAAGTGGAAAGGTCTGAAGATAAAATCGTGGAGAACATCCACAGATGGGGACAGGAAGTAGAAGGGATGACAACCAAGAACAAAAGGTGTTAAGAGAAAGAGACCAAGGGGAGTGGAAGCAGGTGGCTGGGGGGGGCAGGGGCAGGGTGTCAAATGGTGCAGAGGCATCAAATAAGGTGAGGAGACCACACACACTGCCGTCAAGCGGGGGCTTCACTTACATAATTAACTGTCTGCCTTCCTCTACTTCCCCAGTGGAAGCTAGGTGGGTTTAACTCACAGCCTTTTAGGGAGGCCATGGTCGAGGGAGAATGAGGAATTTTGAGTGCCACAAAGGAACTCAGAAAAAAATGCCACGGAAGCCTGGATACTTGGCCATGCTCCTGCCAAATCCCAACATAAACCTCCAGGAATCTACATCTCCGAGAACTGCAACTTGTGTCTGCCACAGATCAAAGGAATTAAAGAAAGAACAATCCCATGAGTGAGGTGCGGACAGAGCCTCACCGCAGCAGCACAGAGGCCATGTGTCTCATGGTAACCACACACTCCTACGCTATCGCTGGGGGATCAGCCCTCCCCCGCCAGCTGTGTGGGAGCGCTCCAAATACAGCCTGGCCACAGGCTGCAGCCCCGAGGTGGCAAAGAAGACGGATTTGATCATGTGAGGTCCCCTTTACTGAAAAAAAAAAAAAAATTATTGTACATAAAAAGGATTTAAACAGCAAAACTGAGCGAGGTACCCCCACCAGTTGCTTGAAACATGAAGGTGTAACACTAATAAAATAAGATGCTCGACAATCAACTGATACCACCAGTCTCAGACTATGTGCAAGTAAAAGAATAGCCGAACCAAGATCCAAGCTTCCAGACGGATACGCCTGCCTTGAAAGGAGGCACCCATACCTGCTTCCCTGACTCCAGTGAGTCAAAACTATAGCAGCTCTCCTCTGATGACAGGGTTTCCATGGGAACATCATCTCGGAAACCGACAAACTCTTCATCATCACTGGGGGCGTTAAAGATGTCAGCCACTTCTTTAGGGATCTGTTTGGATTGAAAAAAGGAGGATAATATCAGGGGCTGTTATAATCACTTAGGGAAATTTTGTAGAGGAGTAGGAATTACCATCTCATGACCTTATCAATCTGCCATGGTTGCTCACAAAACCCCAATAACCCTGAGTAAAATGTGCCTCAGCTTGACACCTCATGGCAACCAGGGAAGGGGTGGAAGAGGATAAGAGTTTTTCTTTTTCAAATTCTAGAGATATATCCTATCTTACAAGGACCGTTGAGGCCATGCCTAGATAAAAGCCATTTTTGATCTCTTGACAAAAATTAAGAAAATTTTCTCCTACAGTGGATGTATTTTTTTTTTTTTTTTTTTTTTTTTTTTT